ATACTGTATATAACAATGAAACAACATAATAGACAAAGGAAACAACATAATTGCCATGATTGGCTAAGCAGTAAGCTGATGAAACAGAGCAGAACAACCAACTACCTTTCCTTGATGTCCTTGTGTCCCGCACCTCCTGCAACCAACTCCAGACCTCCGTGTACAGAAAACCAACTCATACGGATCAATACATCCACTACAACTCCAACCACCCACCTAAAGTCAAGACCGGCGTCATCTCTACATTGACCAGAAGAGCCAAAAACATCTGCTCAACAAACCTACAGGAAGAAATTGAACACCTGAGGAAAGTCTTTGTGGAGCGCATAACCACTACCCACCTGAAATAGTCAACAGAACCATCGAAAGCAGCGCTTTCACCTCCTGCCAAAAGGTCTAAACTAGAATCAGCCCGCATCAAGATATCCATTCCCTACATTGGTAAACCATCACACCAAATCAGCCGACTCCTGAAACAACAGGCAGGAATAGACACTACCTTCTCAGCGTCCTCCAGCCTCAACAACCTCCTCCATGCCAGCGAAGAAAACAACCCACCATCAACAACAACAACCCGAAATGTGTTATTTACAAAATAGACTGTGATTGTGGACAATGCTACATAGGTGAAACATCCCGACCCATCAACACCCCGAGTCAAAGAACATCGCACCTCTGTTGCTAATTCCGACACCAAATCAGCTATCTCTGACCACATCAAAGCCAACCCCAAACATCAAATAGAGTGGTCCGACATTACCATTCTCGCCAACAACCAAGCGGACTTCACTAAGCGCAAGCTCACAGAAGCCATTCACATCAAGCATACAAGCCTACCATCAACCGTGACCAAGGATACTCCATTCCATCTGCTTATGATCCACTCCTCCACCAAGCCCAGTCTATTGTATAAACATCGCATCCATTGCATAAACATCTCATTGTAACTACATCTCTGGCTTCCACTCACTATCCTTTATGTACTTACTGGCTTCATCAGCTTACTGCTTAGCCAATCATGGCAATTATGTTGTTTCCTTTGTCTATTATGTTGTTTCATTGTTATATACAGTATATATATGCAGCTCCTACACTTCATGTATCACTCTTGCTTGACAACGGTACAAGAATCTGTATCGAAACGTCGCACTCACGAAAATAAAGAAGTTGTTATCCATAAAACTTGTTATATATTGTACGTCTCAACTTCTAAAATGCCACTCAAACAAACGGTGAATGTGTTGAGACAGTGTCGGAGTATAAGTATCTGGGAACCTTCATTGACTCTAAGCTGAACTGGAACTCTAATACTGAAGCCCTATACAAAAAGTGTCAACAACGTCTTCATCTCATGCGTAAACTGAGATCTTTTAATGTTAACCCATCTGTGATGTCATCTTTTTATGTAGCATTTATTCAGAGTATTTTAACATTTTCCTTCCATTGTTGGTACGGGTCTCTCTCAGTTCATCTCAAATCTAAAATAGACAAAATTGTTAACACTGCAAGTAAAATCACTGGAGTCAGACTTGAATGTTTATCATCAATATATGAGCGGCAAATCGTGAATCAAGCTGTCAAAATCATATCTGACCGTACTCACTACTTCAATTCGGAATACAACATTCTCCCTTCAGGCTGCCGATACAAAGTTCCAGTTGTGAAAACTAAGAGAGCCTGTACATCCTTTATTCCAAGTACCATATCTCTCTTAAACAAATGTGAAGATGCCTAAATCAAAGAATTTATGTAAATATGTTTGGTATCTCTTAGGGCTTCAACGAGTCCATTTTTTTGGACTCGAGTACTCGAGGGGTGAGACTCGACTCGGACCCGAGTACTCGAAATTCATACCTTTCAAGCAAACAATCAATTGTCAAGATAGTTACCTAATCATTTTAAGAAGTGAAATCTCAATCGATGTATAATATTTACTCTCATCTGCAGACTTGTAACAACTAATACCATACAGCCACACCGTGTGAGGAGTAAACTATTTAATCTAGGTGTTAATAAAGATGGGTTAAAGAATTCAGGGTACATAGAACTCAGTATGTCAGTGTAAATGGCTATCAATCTTCTTTTCTCTCAACCTCTACTGGAGATCCACATGGCTGTGTTCGTTCATCCGTACTCTTCGTTTTGTATACCAATGACTGTTACTTGTCAATATATGACTTGTTTACTGTGAAATTTGCAGATGACGCCACTGTTACTGGCCTAATTTATGATTCTGAACATTATTATCGTCAAGGCATTGACAAAACCGTAATGACAGTTTTTTTTATCAAACCTTTGTTCAAAGTGTGTTGACCCACAATTTTCTATGTTGGTATGGGGATCTGTCTCATCGCAACAAAAACAGACTTTTCAAAATTGTTAATACTGCTTGCAAAATTTCTGGAGTGTATTTCGAGTATAGTCAAAAAGACAGCTAAAATTAGATTTGATAGTTGACATATTTAATCTCACCATTTTGAACTACTTCCTTCTGGACGCTGCTGTCGATTACCTTCCCTCAAAACAGAGCTCGACAGTCTTTCATACCATCAAGTATTCGTGAATGCAACAAATATTTTGAATCACCATCATGTGATTGGAACTAGAATTATTCAGCCTCTTTACCTATGTGGTTAATTGAATTATATCATGTCAGTTTCATTTGTAAATAGCATTCGTTTTGAGCATGTAATTATTGTGTATATTTTTGTGAACTGTGTATATATTCATTTTGAGACAGTTTGGATGTATGAGAATTTCCTCCGGGATAATAAAGTTATATCTTTTTCTTAATATTAGACGTTAACGGCCGCTCATGCTTAGCACATGGCAGACAGTCCGTCAACGTCAATAATTCGAGTTATCTCCCCTTTTCGAGTCCTCGAGTCCTTGAAAATGGACTCGAGTCCAGCTAAACCCGACTCGTCCTCGAGTACTCCTCGAGACGAGTACCCGTGGAAGCCCTAGTATCTCTCTCTCGAGTACTCGAGTACCCGTGGAAGCCCTAGTATCTCTCTAATGTGTCAGTAGCTCTGCTGATGTAACACAAATTCCTGAAAAGGTATTAAAGTACTATTCTATTCTATTCTATTCTATTCTATTCTATTCTATTCTATTGTATTCTATTCTATTCTATTCTATTCTATTCTATTCTATTCTATTCTATTCTATTCTATTCTATTCTATTCTATTCTATTCTATTCTATTCTATTCTATGCAATGTTTCAGCCTCAATGCTTGTTCTGGATTTGGAGCAGAGGAACCGAATCAGTCAAAGTTGAAGGACCTATAAATATACTTCGAGTTATCCGAGGTTCAACGCAACCACAAAATGATGACTGGTCTGGAGACAAAACAGTAAACTCACCATGCTTCACGGCAAACCGAGGAGCATGACTTTTCACGTGCGGTCAGATCACGTGCTCTTGACCACGTGGGAAACGATCGAATCAGTCAGTTGTGTTGACGTTTTCCTTGTCTGACTTGAGTTTAGACGTCAGTTGAGTTCAGGTTTAACTTGAGTTCGGGTGTTTGTTGATTTGGGTGACAGTTCGTAAAAATAGGATGTAAACAGACTGATATTAAGATGGTATTAATGCATCGAAATAGAAGTTCCAGATAGCTAGCTGCTATAGAGCTAGATACTGTACATAATAGACTTTACGCTGCGATAGAGCTAGATAGTGTAGATAATAGAATTTAAGGTATCATGTTAAGTTACTTGCCCCATTAGCATTTGTCGAAAGAGATTCACATTTAGTTCCCCAATTTTATTGTTTGAACTATTTCATCAGTTTAATTAAGAGCGTCACATTTAGTTCCCCAAATAGCATATTTAGACACTACATATTTTAGTTAGTTTAGTTTTCAATTCCACTGCGCTACAATGACCAAGTAGGGTTGGTTGGTTGTTGTTTTACACCACACTCAGCCATATTCCAGCTATATAAGGTTGGTTGGTTGTTGTTTTACACCACACTCAGCCATATTCCAGCTATATAAGGTTGGTTGGTTGTTGTTTCACACCACACTCAGCCATATTCCAGCTATATAAGGTTGGTTGGTTGTTGTTTTACACCACACTCAGCCATATTCCAGCTATATAAGGTTGGTTGGTTGTTGTTTTACACCACACTCAGCCATATTCCAGCTATATAAGGTTGGTTGGTTGGTTGCTGTTTTACACCACACTCAGCCATATTCCAGCTATATAAGGTTGGTTGGTTGTTGTTTTACACCACACTCAGCCATATTCCAGCTATATAAGGTTGGTTGGTTGTTGTTTTACACCACACTCAGCCATATTCCAGCTATATAAGGTTGGTTGGTTGTTGTTTTACACCACACTCAGCCATATTCCAGCTATATAAGGTTGGTTGGTTGTTGTTTTACACCACACTCAGCCATATTCCAGCTATATAAGGTTGGTTGGTTGTTGTTTTACAACACACTCAGCCATATTCCAGCTACCGTATACCGGGAAATTTTCGAGGTATCTAATTTTCTCGAAAAATATTATATCCATGAATTTTTCCTAACTTCAAACCTTTGGGTTAGATTTCCTATCGATAAGCATTTCAACTGCTAGCAACCAATGACTTCCTGACATGCATTAACTCTTTAATGCCTGTCTACAACTAATCTTAACGCTCAGTGGCCCTGAAAGGCCTGAATGAACAAACAACAGAAATGCGTGTCGAGACTATTTAATTGTGTTGTAATTGTTGGTCCAGAATAACATGCATTATAAAAATAGGTAATTCAATCAGTGTTTATGTGAAGTCAAACCAACTGTCAATGCACTCGATGTCACTCTTCTGGCCAAACGATTCCAGATCGGCGTTATGCCAGGTTTGATGAATGCGCATCTTTAAGGGGATTGTTTACACAAACATCCTGGGGCTGTAAGGCATCCGTGTTGTTGGTCAGTTTCAGTAAAGAGGTCAACTTGTCAGCTTTCTAACAACAACATAGTTTCAGCAGAGACCCATCATAGTTAGTTGTTAAAAACAATATCGCTCTGAGAAAAATGGCGCCATGTTTGAACACTGCCGACAGAGTGTTTCGGGTCATTTATCACAACAAAGGATCAAAGGGTTGTTTTCATTACTATTATTTTGCCATGGACTGGTATACCGTAGTTATAACATCAGACGGCAGCTATCACTGGCTACTTGTCGATAGTTCACTGAGTATTAATCCGTAAGTCATGTTTCTGGGCACTTTCTTCTAACCTCAAATTAAAATTGCTAAAATATTTATATAGGTCGAAATTTAAATTTTAAAGCTCTGGGGTCTCAAACCTCGAAATTTTAGCACCTCGAAAATTTCCCGGTCTACGGTATATAAGGTTGGTTGGTTGTTGTTTTACAACACACTCAGCCATATTCCAGCTATATAAGGTTGGTTGGTTGTTGTTTTACACCACACTCAGCCATATTCCAGCTATATATATAAGGTTGGTTGGTTGTTGTTTTTACACCAGCTATATAAGGTTGGTTGGTTGTTGTTTTACACCACACTCAGCCATATTCCAGCTATATAAGGTTGGTTGGTTGTTGTTTTACACCACACTCAGCCATATTCCAGCTATATAAGGTTGGTTGGTTGTTGTTTTACAACACACTCAGCCATATTCCAGCTATATAAGGTTGATTGGTTGTTGTTTTACAACACACTCAGCCATATTCCAGCTATATAAGGTTGATTGGTTGTTTTACCACACACTCAGCCATATTCCAGCTATATAAGGTTGGTTGGTTGTTGTTTTACACCACACTCAGCCATATTCCAGCTATATAAGGTTGGTTGGTTGCTGTTTTACACCACACTCAGCCATATTTCAGCTATATGGTGTCAGTCTGTAAATAATCGAGTTTGGACCAGACAATCCGGTGATCACGTGCATGAGCATCGATCTACTTACTTGGGATACAATGACATGTGTCAACCAAGTCAAAGAGCCGGACCACCTGTTAGTGACTATGTAAGGAATATGCAGGGACCAGACTTTTACCTTGAGACAACAGAAAGTTTAAAACATCAAACCAGCAGCGGTTGACTGTCATTGGGTGTTTTATTACTGCCTTTCTGTGATGTTTCAAGTAAACATCAGACTCCATATGGTCATTACCAGTTACACATTCTTGTTCCTTGACATTCTCATTTCTGACATGATCTTGAAATGTTTCTGGATCTCTACTTTTCTAATATCCCATTTAAACTAGCGTTTTTCAAATAAAAGTTTAATTATAATGCCTAAACAAATTTAAATTTTCTCATGGTACGGAACATCACACAACATTTTGCCTCAATCCATCAAGCTGTCAGCAGCAAGCAAGAGAGGAATAGATAAAAAACTAAAATAAACAGTTTTCTAAATTCTTACCTCAAAAGGTGTCATGATATATTTGTTTAACTACTTCATTAACTTGTCAAAAAATGGTAAGGATAAATAAGAGCAGTTTAACATATGAAAACAGGTGTTGTTTTGCTATGGCTGGCATTTTGACTCAACAGGAACATTCAAACAACTAAACATGTCTATCCTTTCTATATTCTGGCAGTGAGATGGACATTGCTACACTGGTATTTACATCAAACAATGTTGATGCCAAATGGATGTTAATGGATGTTAATTAGGCAGTGAGCTGAACATTGTTGAAATGGAATTTTCATCAACAATGTTATTGCCAAATGTATGTAATCTGTTTCTGAGGATAGTCATGATGTAATCTTTGCACTGTTGTTCTACATATATTATTTTGAATAAAAGAGGTTGTCATTTCTATGAAAAAACATATAGCTGATGAACCTCGCTAAGCTCTTGTTTGTGCTGTAAGTGCCCAAGAGGCAGCTGCTCAACACTATTGCATGACAAACACAGTCACTTTCTGTTTCAAAATCAGAGAATTAATCATGTATATATTGTTCACGGAAATCAAATGTCACCAAAAAACAGTTACAATAAAAAATCTTTGTTTCAGGTTCATCAGGTTCAAGATCTTGTTTAACACAGCAATTCAGTCTGGACCAGACAATCATCTGATTGACATCGTGAGCATCAATCTATGCAGATTGGACACTAGGACGTATATCGATCAAGACAACGAGCCACAAACCACCCGATTATTATCGATCAAGCATCGATCAATACAACGAGCCACAAACCACCCGATTCCATTAGTCGCCTCTTATGACAAGCAGAGATTGCTGTAGATCAAATCTAACCCAGATCTTCACAGGTCTAAACTTAAATAATTAAACAGATCAATTTATCATCATTGTGACTTGGTTGATTTAGTGTTGGGAATTAGTTGGGATCTCACAATTGATGATTGGTTCATTACCAACGAGTAATCATTTAAAAAATTGGTTAGCCTCATTTTTCAGATTTTCCTATTCAGGTTGTTATTGCAGATAAGCATAACCTGGTTCTCTGTTGGTTTTTACTTTATTTAGAAACTGAGGAAATTGCATTTGCAAACTTCACATCCAATGTAAAATGATACAACTTGCAACATTAAAGTGATGACTAATATATCATGAACATAAACTTCCTGGAGTCTTCAAGAAATATGCAGTCATGACTTTTCAGTAAGTGAAGTGAGTTTTCTGAGAATTAAACATGTTTCAGGCTCTGATAACTTCTAAGATATGTTCCATCGTCAAGTGTTTCAAACACTAAAACAGTAGAGACAAAATTGTTTGTGTTTGATTATGAGAAAATTTGATCGATTGCTTGGTCATTTGGTCACTGCAACCAATCTTCGATTATTTCAATTAATCGGAACAGCAGTAGGTTGAGTGTATGCAATCATGTCCCAGCAGCTTGGTATGTGTTCATAATATCGATCACTTGTTAGTCTGACCCAGACTCCATTTTCTACAGGTCACAATTTTACAGCTGGAGTATTGCCAGAGTGATTAATATATTAAGAGGGCTTCATTGCCAGTCACATATGGCAGAGTCGGACAAATACTCCCTCTTGTCACCTGATACAGTCATTATAATCTCAATTAAGGTCTCCAAAATGAAACACTCACATAGTGAAAACAAAGCAGGCAAATGTTTATCTCTGCCAGACAGAGTTGTGAGTAGGAGTCACGAGTGCAAACATTAGATGATGACTTCATGCTAGATTCGTCCTCATCCTAGATTCTGTTGTGGCAGTTTCACCACGTAAATCTTAAAAGGCATCGAGCAAGATTAGAAACACACACAAAACTGTGCTGTTAATAGATGAAATTGAAGTGGAAATCTGTGTCATAACCATTTCATATTAATTCATTACCACTGAAATATTTGAAAACATCATTGTAATCAACATTTAAACAGACATGACTTTATTCTTTTTGTAGGGGGATGGAAAAAACAGATTTTCCTGAAGAAAAAAAGATCTTGTTTGACCTTCAGTGACTATAGTACATGTATTAGGTAATTAAGAGAAGCGTGGGGTTTCAGATATTAAAATTAGCATTGTTTATTCTATAATCTCATCTTTTAGATAAAGGTGAACAATTCATGACTAGTGAGATATTGAGTGGGGCTCCATGAGTTGTGTCCAGTGTTTTGAGAGGGTTGTCGACCTGTATTCAGGAAGCTTTAAACAAAGTATTTTGCTATGCATTTGTGAACTTCATTATACTCGCTGACATAAATATGGCAGGAACTTAAAGTGTTCATGTGTAGCAAAACTACTTGTATCCTGACATGAAGTTGTCACATTTCAATAAAACAGCCAAAAATTGCAAACTGCAATCAAATATATAACTGGACTCCTCGCCATATCATGATATCTACACTAAATCTACACAAGGCTACATGTTCACTGTGTCAGGCATTGAAGCAATATGAGCATTTAAAAAAAACAAATCTGAGTTGCTTGCAAAAAACAAAAAAACAAATCCAAGATGATTTTATCAAACATTCTGGATCTAACAATGGAGTCAGTATGATGGCAAAGACAAAGAGGTTTGCATGAGAAGGTGCACACAGTCTGCTCCAGTACCCACAACACCAACTGTCGCAGGCAGTTCAAGGGGAAACTTACATACTTACAAAGCCAGGTCATTAAAGGGCGGTGGTGTAGCCTAGTGGTAATGTGTTCACTCGTCGCGCCAAAGACCTGGGTTCGATTCCCCACATGGGTACAATGTGTGAATCCCATTTCTGGTGTCCCCCGCAGTGATGTTGATGGAATAGTGCTAAAAGCGGCTTAAAACCACACTCACTCACTCAGTTCATTAAATCTCACTGTAGACAACAGTCACTTAATATTACTGATCTGATATACTCCTCCAATCATACAATATTACTGACATACTCTCCCAGTCATACAATATTACTGACATACTCCCCCAGTCGTACAATATTACTGATATACTCCCCCAGTCATACAATATTACTGACATACTCCAACAGTATTATACAACTCCCCAGTCACTGACATACTCTCCAACAGTCATACATTGTTACCATACTCCAGTCATACAATATTACTGACATAATCTTACTGACATACTCCAACAGTCATACAATATTACTGACAATATTACTGACATACTCCCAACAGTCATACAATATTACTGACATACTCCCCAGTCATACAATATTACTGACATACTCCCAGTCATACAATATTACATTACTGACATACTCCAACAGTCAATATACAATACTGACATACTCCCCAGTCATACATATTACTGACATTAGTCATATACAATATTACTGACATACTCCCCCAGTCATACAATATTACTGACATACTCCCCCAGTCATACAATATTACTGACATACTATCCCAGTCATACAATATTACTGACATACTCCAACAGTCATACAATATTACTGACATACCAACAGTCATACAATAGCTATAATATTACTGACATACTCAAACAGTCATACAATATTACCGACATACTCCAACAGTCATACAATATTACTGTCATACAATATACTCCAACAGTCATACAATACATACTGATGACATATATACTCCAACAGTCATACAATATTACTGACATACTCCAACAGTCATACAATATTACTGACATACAGTCATACAATATACAATATTACTACAATATACTGATATCCCCCAGTCATACAATATTACTGATATACTCCAAC